AGTAAGGGGCAAAAGATGCAATTGGCTTCAACTACTCTGCTCTTTAGCCTGCAATGTGTGATACATTTATACACTATGCAAAATTCTGATTGCTACTTTTAAGAGGCCTTAAATGGAAACTCATTTCACATCCAAAGAATTAAAGCAGAAAGAGGGGGAAATTGATTTCTCGTTTCTCAGAGGTATTAACCTGCTGGTGGACGACACAGCTTCAGATGTAGCTGAATTAAGTCCTGGATTGTTTTCCCGTGCCTCCTTTGGGCTGCATTATCAGCAGTTTGAGGACTCCTCTCTTTAACAAGGAGTTCCAGGCATTTCCACAGAAATGCACTGAAATGGCAAATATGCTTTCATTTCAGCTCCCTCTTAGGAAGTTAGACAGCAGAAGACATGAGCGTTTGATTAAGGTGCACTGTGTTCTTATTCACAAATTGCTCTGCCTTTCCTTTCTATGGAGCCCTGTAATGTATCTCACAGGACCATTGTGGCCGAGAGATGTTTTGAGATCATGCGACCACTTGGACTGCTGGGCTTGCAGGGTTCGTGATATTATGTGGTAACTCATGAGTATCTGTCCATGATTCTGGCTCCAAGCAAACCCAGAAGCTATGAAAAACCACAGAGCATCACAAGACTTCTGCTGAAAAACACCATAAAGCCAGCTGTTTACTCAAGTTATTAACCCATTTATTAATGGAAACTGTTGAGTATTTTGATAAAGCTATGGTAGTTAAACCTACTAAGTTAAATAAGCTAATAAGAAAACTCCAAGGTCTCATATAAGCATTTCCCAGGGCAATACAGAAGATCCTCCATGCTGTGGCATTCTCATTTTCTCCTTTCCCCTGCTGTTGCACTATTTCATATAATAGGACATGATAGGAAATAACGATATAGTCTGTTCAGGGAACTGGAGCAGGACTCACAGCTTGAGGAAATTAAAGGCTACATATGATAGCTATTAGTCCTATGATACTAGTAGAGAGAGCTCTGCAACCTTGGGGATGAGTACAATGTAAGGCTTTGAATAGGAACTACGGGGGAATTAAAAAGCATTAAAAGAATAAGGAAAAGATAACCTTGAAATCTCTCTGGAATGTAACCCTCCCTAAAAATACTCAGGACATTAGTGTCCCCTGAGCACCTACTCAGGGGGCTGTGAGACACTGGCTACAAAGCTGAAAGGGAGAGTGTTGCCTTGGGAACCTGCTGGTATTTCTCACCTAGGAACACAAGACAGCTCCAAACCCTCCCAAAAATTTGCATGTGATTTCCAGTCAGATTTGCACTGTTGAGGATAAATATATCCATGTACAGGACTAGTAGCTATGGGAGGTCCAGGACTTCTGTAGCTACAGCTCTAGACAGTGACTAGGCAAAGTGAACCTGGAGAGACTTTGAGTTTTGTATGATTCACTTGCAGCTGTTACAAATGTTTTCTTTGCTTCACTATCTTATATCTTCTTCTGGTTTCTCTTGCAAGTAAATTGAATCTGATCTACATTCTTTTAAAGAAAAAGACAGGGATTTTAAACAAAATTAACAGCTTTGGAGACTGCATAAATTGTGCAATTCCATATGTAACTAAAAGTTTTTGGATTAAAGTTAGTACGTTTCAAATTGTCTCTGAAAAGAGTAAACCAGCTACATATGGCATGTTGAGAAACCCCTCCCCAGTGATTCTACTGCCACACACTTCTTAATAAAATTATAGTTAAGCTCAGAAGGAGCATAAAGAATAAAAATGATTAGCTGTGTGTGGCCAATAATAATAATAATAATAATGAACAATTTAAAAGTAGAAAATATTTTCATCTAAAATTAATGGACATATCTTTACTATGTCATATGTGAATTTATCTGCACGACTTCCACTCATGTTAATGGGAGCCGCTTGACTAAATTTCTGCCCAGTGAGCAGTTAATTCATCCCTAGGGGTTTAAATTTAAATGTACAAAAGCCTTTTAATGTTAAAGCTGGAATACTGTCTTTAATTCAGATAGTTGTCACAGAACAAAGAAGTAGGGAACTAAATTAGCAGTGATGGGTTACTAAGAATACTAAATTTTCTGAATTAAGTGACTAATTGGGTGGGAGAGCTATGTCATGCCATCTTGATTCTGACCGATACCCTGTTTGTTTGGGACTGTTGTTCCAGGGAGATCCCAAATAATAAATAAATGCTTGATACCATGTCTATAAACAGCATTTCTTTCTAGCAACTGTCAACATTTGGCTTAAATTCTGACACAGACGTGACCCAGGAAACCTCAGTCTACAGATTCTTCTAAAATTATGCTGTTCTAAAATTATGTTCTAAAATTATTTAAGTGTTGAAATTCCATACTGGTTTGTTGTGCAAAAAATAAAACAACYTCCTTTTTATCTTTTTATGTCAGCTCCTTTTCATTCTCAGGTTGCCCTTGTTCTTTTCTTAAAGAAAAAAATTAAAGACGGTGACCTGATTTTCCCTGAGGTACTATTCACTATTTTGTATCTGTTACTGTGTCCTATCTTATTCACAGTTTTTCTAAATGAAATGGTCCTAAACTTTTGAATTTCTTTCCTTACAGATGTTTTGCTACATATCTTCCACAGTATCTCCTTTAATGTATATTTTCCATTTCTACATATCTTTTTCTGCCTGTATTTTGAGCACCAATGTTTTCATTCAAATATAACCCTCTCACATATTTATATAAGGTCATGATAAATATATAGTGTGTTATTCTCTATCCACGTCTATTTTTTCTGAATATGGTCACTTGCATTTTTCTACCACCACTACACTAAACAAATGTTTTCTTTAAGCTCTTAACAGTGATTCACTATCAGACCTTCAGTCAAACTTCTCTCCCCTTTTTCTCCCTTCTCCCCTCACAAGGTTAATAAGAATAAATCTTTGAGACTGTGCCTCATAATACTGGGGGCTTTTTCTACATGACACTTATAAGTAGTTACACAGCCCTCTGAAATCCCTTCAGCCTTCTCCACTGTTAAAGAACATTATATCTTGTGTTATCTGTCATTTTGCCACCTCACTGTTCATCTCCTTCCAGATTGATAATACATGAAATATCACTTAATCAGAATGCTTGGGGCACCAACAGATAGCCACTTKCTCTGTAGAAAATTGCCCATCTATTCCACCTCTTTGCTCTTTATCTTTTAACCAGCTTCTAATCCATAACTGATCTTCTCTGGTAGATTGCTAGCTCCCTGAAAGCAGAAGCAAGTCTTTTAGTTTTCTTGTACAATGTTGTGGAGATGTAAAAATATCTATTCATATATAACGCACTCTGGTTTCATTTTATCAGTTCATATACACGTAGGTGTTTTATAACTCTATTAATTTTTTTTCTAATTAACTCTTCTACCATTGAGATAAGGTTTTTTGCTCTGTAATTACCAGGGTCATCCTTTGAATCTCCCCTAAAATTAGATAAAATATAAACTATTCTGCAGTGCTAGCTGATGTGCAGTATGCTGTGTTCYGCAATTAATTGTGAGAAAAATCTCTTACCTTGGAAAAGAGTAGCCACTCTGCTCAYAGAAAGGCAAAGTTCTGACCTTCAACTGCCTCCTGCTATTTAAAGCTACCGTTTGCAGCTATTGCTATTTCACTACCCTTAGGCCCTCTCTTGAGCTAAAGTCTTTATGGTATGAGTGCAAATCATCTCCAGATTAAAAGTCCATAAAGTTCATTTTCACTTGAGACTTAAGTCAAGTGGCAAAGCAGACGCTTAAAAGGGATATGCGTCAGAAATAAAGTCAGCATGGCATATAGCTATCTACTTTCAGTCACTAAAAAGGATAATGCCAAGTAACTTTTCTAGATATTTTCACAGTTTGGTGCTGAAAACGTTGTTTTAGAGGCAAGAAAATAAAATGATTTCCTTCTTGATTTATTCCCTAGTGTGGTTTCAATGGATTAAAAAATAATGTATATTATACCATAAGGTACTTAAGCACAAATTTTGACGTCTTAAACATTTCTAAGTGATACAAAAAAGCAAAGATTCAGCAACTTTCCGCAAATAATAAATCTGGATGGGAAGAGAGTTTATGAGTGACTTAATTGTTTTTTTCAAGTGTGGCCAGAAGCTCGAAAGACATAGCGTAAACAAGGGGAAAAGCAGTTAAATACCTCAAGATGAACAAGTTACTGCACTCCTAAAAATAATATTTCCACTGGTATAAACATTCATGTTGCATCAGTCCTTCACTGGGAAAGTCAACCAATTTAAGCTGCATTCTTGCAATAAGGTTGACTAGGCTGCCATAAACACCCACAGGGAGCAGTGGCAGMAGCTCTCCCTCACAATTTCTTCTAACGTACTCAGAAATAACTGTTCACACCTCATTCTAACAGATTTATAACCTACTTTCACTCTGCTCATTCACTTCCAAATGTAATTCAATGAGCCTTCATCTGTATGTCCTATATCCCAAAGGCAGAAGTCAATCAAGAAAATAATAGAAGTTCTGTGAAAACAGAAAAGACAGTATCTTGAAGCTATGCACTATGTGTGTCTTCTAATGCGGTACTTAAAGTCATTAATATTAAAACTGGATAAAATTAGGCCCTCTCACAGGCTACTTATGTGTGTGTGTCTGCTGCTCTGCTGTACTTGGAGGTGAGAATGCTGCATCACAGAGATACTAAACTACTTTGTAGTGTGGTCCTCAAAAGAGATGGCATTGGGTAGCTCTACGCTTTACACTCGGGTGACCTGCACCTGCCYGGAAGCCTAGGCAGACCCTCCTTCCCAATTGGGAATGGTGTCCCCAGTCGGCATCTCCCTAAACGTTTTGTTCAACATCTMTCTCTCTCTCTCAATAGTATCTTTGCTATGAGATTTTACTGTGCTTGGTGATTTCTCTCTATCTTTACATTGCAGATGTACTGTGATAATCAATTTGGCAGTACACAGCTCGAGAAAYGCATTCAGAATTCATGCAAGCAATGAGTTACCAAAAGAAAGAAGAGTGAAAATACCTCGTGATATTTTTTCACTGTTTTCCCTGACATGCATGTGCAGGATTTCCAATTCGAAGTCCCACAGCCACAATTTCCTCCACAGCGCTGGACAAGGAGGCAGCGGGGGAAGAAAACTACATTTGTCAGCTTCAGTTCCTCCCTTAAATTGACAGAGTAGTTTCTTGGGGTGCAGCTATAACGTTTCACATCATCATTCAACCTGTCCAGGTCAACTGCAATGCAAAAGAGGTTTTATTAGTGAAGTTGAAGAGAGACATTCCCATGGTTTATACTGTTCCCCAGGCAGCCAATAATACAAAGTGATGTGGCACTTTTTGGGAAATATAGAGAAGTGATTTCTGGAAAGATAAAGATAAATTCAACAATTTTAAATTATTATAGGTGGCCATCCAGGCTCTCCTGCTCCCACTGAATCTCACAGCAGAACTCCCACTGACTATAAAGCTGAAGGGCAGGTTTGAAGATTGTGTGTGCTGAAGACTGGTTTTTGTTTCATTTGCTCTGTGGCTGATCTGGTGGATCCTTGGGGGAAGTATTCAACCTATGCTGCTCTCTTCCCTTTTTGCTTACATCTTGCCTATTTTGATAGTAAGTTCTTGTTTGTTATAATGAGAAGAATTACATTTGGCTAACTGTAGGCATACAGAGAGKTAAACAGCTTAACCAACACACTTCCTGTGGTCAATGCAGAGATGCCTTTCATGGCTACTTCATAAGTTTAAGACAAGTGGAATAACTTACCTTTTTGAATTGCCTGTCCACGTTGTTTTCAGATTGCGTCTAGACACCTATCTTTTATATGGGTAAAGCAATGTTAGTTTTGGCCTGTGAATGCTACTACAGGCTACTATAGCGTACTGCAGGCACACAAATATATGTCAAAAAAAAAAAAAAAGTTAATGAGCCTCATTGAATGTGGGGAGTTGATTGACGTTTAAAACTAGTATCTTTGTGAGATGTATCATAGTACTAAAGTCAAGTATAAAGCTAATGCACAGACTTCTGACTGTGAGATTTAAGTACTGTTTCTAAGTTTAGTTGGTAAAGCTAAAATAAAATAAATATTTTCCACAATTGTGATAAAGATAAAAGTAACATATTTAAAAACATATTTATTTTGAAGTTTTCTGATTTTATTTTCTCTTCTTTTCTACTGTATTCTTTTCTTTCGGATGCTGTCAGAAGCATAACTGTTCAAATGATTAATAAGTTAGTCAGAATTCAAGGAAATGTGATCCTCTGTTAAGTAATGAGGTCCTCTGAATTGAAACTCAGAACTAGAAAGAAAATCAAAATGCATTTTAAGCTCATAGAGGATTAGAACTTGCAGAAATCGTCTTCCTTTGATTCAAATCTTCAATTTTCAGGATTAAAAAAAAAAAAAGGAAAAAAYAGAAACCRGAAACACTGTCTTACTCTGATAAATCATTAGTAGTATGGATCTTTTAAAAAAGTAATTTTAATTCAAAAGATAATTTAAACTGAACAGCAAAATACAGAAAATGTCTAGAGAGATGAGATAAATAATAATCCCTCTCCTACCCCATTCAAGATTTACTAATAGATATATCAACAGCAATCAAAACAAAAAACCATGAATGCTTCAAATGAGAACAGAGATGAGTGTTTGGGAACATACCACATTGCCACACACTTGTTTAATATTTCAGCTGCATCTCTAGCCCTGAGTTGCATTTATGCTTTACTATAAAAACTTGAAAACCTCCAATAAAGTCAGGAGCACTACAGCTTTTTACACCTTATGTGACTCAGCCCTTATTAATAAGAAAAAAATAAAATGTGGACTGACAATGATTTACCGGTATTGTGAGGAAAGCTGTGATTTTTTTCAAGATCATGTAGCTTTACATTGTGACTTTGAGATATTCTCTGGTTCAAAGTAGATATTCAACAGGTAAGGGCATGTAAATGCTGTAAGTACAATAGAAAATAAGAATAGCTTCACTTTTCTGGTATGGTGTTATCTCAGACAAAGGGAACATAGCAGGTAAACTGGGATTTTATAGCAATTGTGATACATCTCACCATGAAATCTCTGTGGTTCTCCCCTGAGAGCTAACATCTCTACAAAAAAGTTATATATCATCCTCTTGATATAAGCACAAAATCAATGGAATTGCTGGTATACTCACATACTGAAAGAAAAAATGTGCCCAGCACAGCCAGAGTTAGGACCTAGAAGACCAGTGAATATTGATTTCTTTGTTTCAACAGATGATATTTTGTTCTCTTTTGTCATTCCCCAAAGCCACTCCTTCTCATTCCAGCTTCTTAGGCTAATTCTTTTCATAGGGAAGTGTTTCTCACTCCTCTAAACATTCCCATAAGGACCTTCACCATCAGCTAGTATTCATTTAAACCAACTGACAAGCAGGAAAAAATAACCAATAGAAAAGGGTGGAAAAATATTCTGCGTTCTYGATTAATAAGATTTCTGGAGGGGATGGTCCAGAATATCCATACACCAAAACACAGCAATTCAGGGGTAAGGATACCAATATAAGCAGGTTCCTACTGGGACAGAGTGGCATAYAATGGCAGCTGAGCATGGTGCATCTCAAGATAGGTCAGAATAAATTCCTCAAATGGTTAATTCAGCCCTTARCTACAATACCTGTTGCTCTGCAATGGAAACAAGGCTTCCTGCAACAGACAGGTCATTAAAGACRGCCAATATCCAGCTCACATGAACTGGCACCTATGTCCAAAGGAAGATGAGAGCATAAACCAAACTTGTTCTATCATGGGTGAAATCTCCCCTCAGGTCCAACAGTTTTGCTCATTGCTGTAATGAGCACCCGGTACCTGTCATCACTGCAGCGCTGTCAGCACAGAAATAAGTCTTCTTAATGAGTCTGGACGAGAAGGAAAGTGCCTGCATTTAAAGAGGGGTGACAAGGGAGGACAGTTCACAGRGAGCGTATTATGTCCATTGTAGTGTTGCACAAATTGGCTTTGGTAGTTAAGCTGCTCAATTTAAATGCCAGGGATAGCCTGGTAAAGGGCTGACCCTGGAGGAAAAGCGCTTCTAAAGCCTAGTTATGGTGACTTTCAAAAGTCTTTTTCTGGGTCTGTGCTCAAGCTGCATCTGAGTCAGGACTGTGGAGAGTTGTTGACTTGCTAAAAGAATAGGAGGGAATAATTAGATAATTAGGGTAATTTTTGCTTTATGCAGTATGAAGGAATCAGCTATTTTCAGTGCATGCTAAAAGCTTTGGATGGATGCATTTTTTGGAATCCTAAAATCAGCCAGTGACACAATACATTTTATTTAATATATTTTCAATGCTCAACTATTTTGAAGAAAAAAAGAGGGAAATTTTCCATGGAAGTGCATGGACTTGCTGTTTAATTTTATATTCACAGCACTCTCATTCTGATTTATTATCAGTTCTCAGGAGCCCTAAATCCCAGAGATTTCATTTAAGTTGTGAATTCTCAGCCCTTGAGCATATCTCCAATATCAAGGTCCATGTTTAAATGAACAAATTCAGTAGTGGAAATCCTGAAATCCGGGAAATAACCGCACACAGAGCAGGGAAGATTAAGTAAAGGGATTAAGAGATACACGAGCTATCCTCTACAAAACCCATCTGGAGGTAAATACATGTTCTTTATGGAATTCCAGTCCTCAGTGGGACAAGGTGAGCAAACAACATCTTCTGTGACTAGCATGTACTATATTCTGACAGCATCACACTGACACCAAGAATAACTCCCATGGCCTAATTAGCTTTACAACATGGTTTCTGACCCCCTAACAAAAGAATACATTTTCCTCTGAACAAATCTCCCTGCTAAAAGCTCCGACAGGGGCTCTTTTCTCTGCCTTAGGATTGTTTTACTGGCTGGAGGGAGTCCATTTCCTCATCCACATAACAATGAGATTTTACAGTACAGTCGSTTTCATGCATCACTTCACTGCTGTGACTAAAACGTAACTGAGCCTTGGTGCGACTGGTGTGAAATCCTGCTGCTTTACTTATCAAGGACTCAAACCACTGGAGTCCTTAATTTAAAACTAGAACTAAAAGGTTCTGTAGACTGGATGCAAATAACTTCAAAGTATTATTACAGAGTGCCTGCATCAGAAATTCAATTTAAAGGCAAGGCAGACATAAAAAGAAGCACTAGAGCAGTAAGCTGGATACTTGGGGTACAGTGTTTGTCCTTTCCTCCCTCTTACAGCTTGTGCTTTAATCCATTCTTATTTCAGATAGTGCTAAGGCATGTGCTTACCTTGAAGCACTGATCCTAGTCAGATTTAAGCACTGAAATCAGGGACTGCAGAYGATACTACATTTTGGTTAGAAGGGACATTATTTATGAGAGGATTGGAGAGGACAGAAATGCTGTCCTGCTGGTCACTGACTAATTTTTAAAAAGACAGACTGTCTGTTAGGGTGTATTTTAAAACTTTTCCAAATTCATACATGCCCCCTAACATTGTTATATCTGAGCATTTTATGCTTTTTAAATACATTACCCACAGATATGAGCTGAGTAATAAGAGATGGCTGCTACAYTGCCACACTATTCCTATACGGTATACCATAGTGATATACAGGTAGGGCAAGGATGATCCAAGGAGCTGTATAACAGGCAGCCTAACCCCCAACCTTAGAAAAAAAGGATGTTTGTGTATGAAATCATGAGATACTAGATCTTCTAAAGAGAAAAAAACACCAACAAACCATCTGAGTTTATATCACAGAATCAAAGAATGGTTGAAGTTGGAAGGGATCTTGAGAGATCATCTAGTCCAACACCCTGCTCCAGCAGGGACACCTAGAACATGTGGCACAGGGTGGTGTCCAGGTGGGTTTGGAAGATCTCCAGGTAAGGAGACTCCACAACCTCCATGCGCAGCCTGTTCCAGGGCTCTGCCACTCTCACAGGGAAGAAGTTCTTACTCACATGCAGATGGAACTTCCTGTGTTTCAACTTATATCCATTACCCCTTGTCCTGTCACTGGCCACCAATGAGAAGAGTTCGGTCCCATCCTCCCTACGTTCTCCTCTCAGGATCAATATACATATTGACTAGATCTCTCAAGTCTTCTTGTCTCTAGGCTAAACAGGCCCAGCACACTTAGTCTTTTCTCATATGATAGATGCTGCAGTCCCTTAATCATCTTGGTCGCCCTCCACTGGACCCTCTCGAGAAGCTTCACATCCCTCTCATACTGGG